CACAGACCCAATGCTGCGCTACTGCGGACTGAGCGATCCTTCAAAGGCGCTTTAACTGCATTAACCAAAACCATACCATTATTTACATTTAAAATCCTTTTGACAAGAGCCCTTCTTTCCCTTTTGAACGCTGAGCGGTAACACCTTTACTGCTCGTCCCGCTTCCTGCCATCTTGAAGATGGGGTCAAACGTATTTCTCAGTCTCGATTCAAGATTCTTACAGTAATCAGCGAAATTCTTCATTCATTGAAGACAGTGGTACCTACACAGTAGCGCCAAATCACACAATCAATAAACATCTCAAAAGCGTCGGATAGATAGGGTATGAGCTCGAATGAACAGCAGTAGTGGGGGGACACGCCTACCGGTAAATGCTCACTCACGGGGACCATTATTATTACATGATAATCTACATATACATAAAAAGATATAATGTGAACTTATGAACAATATTACAACTACTGTATAAAAGACACTGAATATGTCGATGAATAGCAATCTAGAGTAGACAAACTTAATAATAATAAGAATAATAATAAAGAACAACAATGTAACACATGAGGAGGAAGAGGCGTCATGATTTCATCGAAATTTGTGGGGAATGAGCGATAAGAGGGAAGAGGTGCGAGTATGGGACTGTTGAAAGATTCAGCTAGAGGAAACAACACAGTAATGTATATCCGAATGAAATGATACAGTCCATTTCGTCTTCTCGCCAGTTTCACATAATTTTAAGGAATACATCACAGATAAATCAATAGGTCTGATCAATCGATCAAACAGGAAATATGGGATGTAAGTCGATACAATATAGTGGAATAATTTGCGCATAATGAGTTGATCTGTAGACGAAACTGGGATCACTGGGTAAATGCTAAGTGAACAGATCAAAATTGAATTTTTAATGAGGAGAGCTTCTCCTAGACTTTCTCAACTGTTTGCCTATTTAAAAGATTCTTAGAAAACAAGATTTCTATAACGAAAAATGCTCAGAATATCCAGTACGAAAAGAAAGATGCCCCTATAAATCGGTCATTTCTTGAATACTCATGTTTACCCATAGGTGTTAAATTAAATAAATACCGTTTTCCAACAGATTGGTAAGCACTACCTAATATCCTACAAATAAGAAGCTCTGCAACCGCACGCCTAAGTGTCATATAACGTGGACCCGATGTCCAACAGGGACCTAATTCAGCGAAACAATCGTGATAGAAATTAGAAAACTAAAAAGGAATGCCCTGTCCAAATTCAAAACCGTTAAGTGTGATATATCACGCTGAGTTTCCAACCAGGCTTCTCTGGAAATCTTGGGTTCAGAGGTATATTTAGTGTAACAAATTTCAATCTGTCCACTCAACACTATCTTTACACTTCTAGCTATATCAACAGGTACTGAAGAGAATTCACAGAAGCCTCAAGCACCATACACCTCAAATCAGAATTAGTCCGCAGTTTTTGAGCCAGAACTCGTCCTCGTAATGAGTTCTGAGGGACGGGCACCCGAAGTAGTATGCCACTGTACAAAGGGCGTAAAGGTCAAGTTATGATGTTTCAATTAAAAGTTTGCTTCTTCAGCATTTGATAGGGATAAAACTAAGAGTGAATTCAAATTCTGTTCAATCTTTTCAAACTCGTCAACAACTATCAACAAGTTCCTCGGCTGAATGTGATTCCGGTATAGGAGCTATCGACGTGACGGGCATGTCCACTTCGATCTGGAACAAGTTTGATTCTTAAAGCGAAATCGTAAAAAGTCAGGAGTATTCACGAATTCCTGCTCAGAAGATAGTTTTAAATCAATATTTAGAGCAGTAATTAAGTAGTAACATCAATGCCATTATTTCGTAACCAAGATGATTGTGAGCTACCGGTTTGAGTGTCTCAGAATTGAAAGGGGAGTGATAAAAAGAAACCAATTGGGCAGCCACTGAACATTTTGGCTACCAGTAGGACGTAGTAATATGTCCAGCTGGGCTGGATCTGTCCCTACACGGACATTAAAACGATGGCCCAATCAATACACATCACCATCCCTTGCCGTAAATAAGGCAAATAAGGCAAACAAAAATTTATTTAGAAGTACAGCTTACTGGAGTATTGTCCGGACTATTAGAACTTGGAGCGAATACAGCAGTTGACTTCGAGTTACCATTCGTGTCTACTGGTCTGTAAATGTTTTTTTACTCAATTTAACAACAGCAAGAACATTCAATGCAGTCAACAGATAGTAAGGGCTCAATGAGAAGAGAAACTGCTTTGAAGAAATAGTTTAATGGGAAATGAAAAAAAAAATAGTTGAACTAATAATAAAACTAAGATTCAGAACTTACACTTCACTGTCACTGCTTCTCGTACTGCTTGAACACGTCGAATCATTCGAGATCGTACTCGTCCAGCTCTTCGGTCGTTGTCGGACGAGTTGGTCCTCTCGAGGTGCAACTCGTGAAAGACGTTGAATCCATCGTTGACGCTGTTCGGCGTCTAGTGTTTCAATGGCATAGGCATCTGATTTCGCCTCGTCCCATAATTCGAAACGTGAACCGCCGGAACGGGACAGCTCGGAGAAGCCCAGCGAAGACATCTGGAACGAATTATAGTGCAGTAACTCTGTGAAAACATTTGAGATGACTCATAGCGGGAAAAAANAAAAAATCCGAAAGCGAAATTACTAGCTGTAGTGACTAAGGTTGACAACCAGTATCTACAGCTCACACTTTTGAATAAAAACAATGGGTCAACCAAATGTTCACCTTTCATCAAATCCCTGCTTTTTGCACAAGCTAACCATCTCACCCACCCCACGCCAAAAGACAAACCCGATTATCAAAGAAAAGCAAATTGGGAATCGTGTCCGAGAGGACTCGGGGCATTTCTACACTCACTGGTGAAGTGTGCACATCTTGAGGCTGATGCACGGTGTGTAGGAGTACTATAAGCGAATTCGAAACTGTGATACAGTAATAAAAAAGGTGCACGGTATCAGGTGGTTTGCAAAGGAAACTTACCGGTATACACATCTTGTGCTCGTAGTACTCGGGATCTAGTGATGAAGGCTGGTTGGGAGGATTACGTTTCTTACAAAACAGGATCCCTCCATCGAACAGGAAGAGGTGTCTACAAAAATCTTTTGAAGAAGGATAGCAAGTTTTAGAAAAGTAAAATAGTTTTCAACTGTCAGCAACTTTCGGAAACTTCTTACTAGATCTGGCCCCATATTTTAATGAGAATGTTGAACGAATTCATAAATCAATTTGAAGTCGGAAGCGTAGTGGAACAACTCCTCCTTGATTCGGAGAAGGCCGATAGCTTACAGAGTACACCAGTCCTACATTCAGCTGATGGAGTAAGCACAATGATCAGAAGCACATAGCTAGTCAGCCAGTGAAGCGTCAGGCTCAGTCATTGACGCTGCTAGCGGAACTAAGCCACCGCACTGACACAGTATCGCGCATGGTAGCCGCCAGCTGAAGCGCACCCGCTGTGGCTACTTGAATGAGAAAAAACCTTCAAATAAAGTGGCCCGCTCTTATGAATTCGTCACGAAAAAAATTGAAACTAGTATATGGAAAATAATTTAAAAAGTGCAAAGTTTGTGTGGAAGCATCCGTCGAATGCCTAGTCAAAGCTGTTGGTACTTACCGTCGTTGAGCCCGCGCTGTTTTTCCCTTCTTTTTACGGCTAAACTGGTATACATCACATTCGGATTGCAATCGAAGTGGTCCCAGTAAGCGTAGATCACCCTAGAAATAGCTTTTCATAGCAATGATTTATTCAAACAATCGATAACTCAGTGAAAGAGAACTCACATTGAATCCTGAAATATGTAACTGGTGGATGGCAGCGTTGATCTGTGCAAGAAGTTCTAACATTGTTGACAATGCAGCAGCTACTTCAGGTCGTACCTATCAAAAAACAAATCAACTAGATCAGGAAGAGCTCAAGAGGAAAAAGGCGGTAACGTCAGTACTCAACAAGTTCGAAGCGAATTCAAAAGAATTCAGTAAATATCCAAAGAAAACTTCGCAACGAACCTCAGGCCGACAATGTCGTTCCAGTTCTCGCAGTAAAAGCTGATATTTAGTGATCCTTTGAACCGGTTTCAACAAGTAAGCTCCTAACGGCAACGGATGACCAGCCCGTCGTTGACAATCCTAAAGTAGTTGGATGAAAATCAATACAAAAAATAAAATCAGTTCGAAAACCACTGAAACATACCGCGAAAAATGATGACATCTCACAAAATTCCTTGCGTATGGCATCACTGGTGGCTTTGTTTTGGCAATAAGCATGATACAATGAGAGAAACCTGTAACAAATAAAACAAGTAAATAGCTGTAATTAATAAACAAATTCAATTTCCAATTCTTTTTCAAGTCTCTTGGCAATACTATTTCTTACACTCGGACTGATTCTCTTAAAGCTTACTGCTACATTTTAGCGTTTCTCAAACTTAGTGGTGGCAGGTACCGTAGTCAAGCACTGAAGCCATGTCACTTTCTTCTGCAGTACCGTACCCTTTTGTGCCGGAAGACAGTTCCTATATAACAAGCCTAATTTCAAAACTAAAGCTGATCAGTTTAGTACAAACAGCTTACTTTGTCTCCCAGCCCAGCTCATTACAATAAATGAAGTCTTCGAAATATAAAAAATCGGGTCATTAAAATTATTTTTTGAAGGTTGTTTAGGATGCCCACCTATTCGCGTGCTGAATGAAGACACGACAAATTCCAGCTGACGAATTTTCATTGGCAACTAATTCCGGTAAGAGAAATCGTGAATGGAAATGGAGAAGTTCGCGAAGGTTACCTAAAATAAGACTATTCCACAAGAATTCAAACTATCATAGCCAGTGAAATTTGCTATAACAAGTTAAACCTGAATTGTGAGAGAAAAATAGGAAAAAAGGAAGTTCTCACCAAACACTAAGTCACTTCGACCACGTATCGGTAACGCAACACCTTGTTGAAGATCAGGCGAATGAAACGGTTCCACATAATGTTCAACGAGTGATTCTAACTCGGCAACGTACGTTCGCTCGGTGCTCAGCTGAACAATTTCCAATTAATCATAAAAAGAAATAAAAAAAGGTTAACTGGCTGTTTTTTTGAGAAAAGGCCCTCTGAGACCCCCTAATGATCGACAGTGGTAATCGGGCAGAAGTTGGGCACATGGCACTCCTCACCGAAGGGTCAATACTGACAGTTCAACTATCTCATCCTGCACTGTTTTCACCTCAACATTCGTTGCTTCAAGTTTTCAATATAATCATCTAGTAACAAAGAAAGTCATTTTACTTTATTAGGTCTAAATTTCACTGGCCGAAACTTGGATTTACAAGTTGTCATTTGTAGTAAAGTTAGTAGTTAGGAATAGCGACTCCAGCCCAACCCATATAATCGGGTCACTTTCTCAGACTCTTCACATTTCCGTTCCAATCCTCAAGTGGATCAGTTCGGCTCTGTGTTGATTTACTCAATCGGCTACCGACCACATTAATCACTGCATGGTTGACTGCGTTCAACGACCAAAGCACAATTGAACGTTAGCAAAGCGGCTATTATGATGTTGAAAGGCGGTTTTTACAGCCGGGACACCCCTTCCCCCACATCTATTCCCAAGACGCCAGTACAACGTAAACATCCTAAAATGACCACCAATAGGGTGCAATCAGAGCGCTACGCAGGATACGCCACATATTTGCCGCCCGCACGTGAACTACCCATCGAATCTGCATATGAATCCAGATTCCTCTTTACCAACGACCACTCCTTTCATACAAAGTCTGCTCTACAAGCAGCCGTTCAGTCGTATAACGACAGCGCTATTCTATTCTTCAAGATAATGCCATTATCTGGATTCGCCGTTTTGTCAAACATCCTTTTTCAGGGGCATAAACTGACCACTGATTCCAACATGCAACAAATATTCTTTACCTACTAGTATTGCGCTGCAATCCCACACACTCAAGCGTATTTTTTGTGGGTGTCAATTTTGTTTTGATAATTCCTTTTAGAAATACAGATTTTTTTTCAAAATAGAAAATGCAAAAAATAAAAAGCGAATGAAGTAGAGTAATAATGATCGAGGTATTGCCATTACAAATTACTCGACAACCCCTAAATGAATGCTACTCACGCAGATACACGATAGTCGTTAGACCGGGTCAGGCCTGGAACAAGCAATTCTCACTGGGAGACGTACTGTTCAATCCTCGTAGCCACTTTCCCACGCTACTCTGGTAACTAGTAATGTTGAGTTTCCTATACAATTCCAAGTGGTATACAGTCAATATCCTTCCGCCTACACTTTTTCACTAGTAGTGAGTGGGGGTCTTATTCTGAGGCGGAACATAAGGACGGTTGCAAATGGGAGAGAGATATCCCAACGTCACGCTTGTCTCTGAATACGACTCCTGACCTCCAAAAATCTCATCATTTGAAAGGGTTTTCGAAGTTTCCCTCCAATTTCTTCGATAGGGTTTGGCAATTGGTTGGAACAGTATTTTTCAGCCCTAAAAAGCGCAGATTCTGAGACCCAACGAATCGATTCTTTAACGCACTGAGACCTCTTCCAGTTCTTTGTTCTGACCTTCGAACTACGATAATTCCCCATCAATTAATTTTTTGCTCTCCTTTGCGTGAAGGCAGCTGAGTAATTCAACAGCTGGTATCACCCGAACATTATAAGAAGGATAATCGGGTGACCAGCTGTCAAACAAAACCTCAGCTTAAAGATTTAGCACCACAGACACGAAGACAGAATATTTCCATGTTGGAAAAATTGGATTATATTCTTCATAGTGTCTACGTATATCTATTCTGGGGGTTGCATTCCATGGAAAAAGACGAATATCTAGCGTTGGGTCTATGGATAGAGTACTTGGGAGGTACACTTAGCCACACACCCCATAAGGGAAGACTCAGCATTCATAATCCTTCCTCTAAGAGGCCCTTCAAAGTTCGAGTGACCATATAGCGCTTCTTCTCACCGTTTTATCCTTCCTCCAATAAAAAAGCATTTTGGGACGCGCCATGCAGCCAAACACCATTCAGAAAAGAACAGGAATCCTTAACTTGCCTCTTCTACAGTACTCTACCACTACAAAGTGAACGGATAAACGTAACAAGTCAATGTCAAGAGTTATAGTACAGCCATAACCCTAATGTTTAGTGCCAGATTATGCTTTGAAAATCGGATCGGGGCCCGACGCATCTGGACAACGAGTTGCTCGCCGTGTCGTTTGACGATCACCTGGTCAACAGCTGGCTTGGCTTGTCACGAAATGAAATGCGCTGACGTAAACTTGTCACGACGGACTACGCAATGTCGAATTGGTGCAACTTTGCCATGTTGGGGAGCCTCCACCAATATTTACGGTATTTTTCAGTAATACTTTTTGTTCGATGTGGTAATAGTTTTGGTAAAATGGACCGCCAAAGTCAATAAACACTACCCAAATTATACAAATTATATTAACAGAGACAATGATAGGCAAACTTTACCAGTTCGGCGACGACGAATGACTCGATAGAGATTGAATGTGGACTTTGTGGTGAGCCGAGAGGAGAATCAGAACTGGAGCAACATTGTATATTCCTGACACTAGCGATGTCATGCTGAAACCGAAAATAACTTATGAATGGTAAAAACTCGAAAGAAGTAAATAGTAATGTGTCATACTCTTTTATTGTTACCCTATTTCATCATTCCTGCACAGGATATCAGTAGTATTCTATTCATACACGTAATAATAAAGACTAAAAAATTTAGTTTCAGTCTCTGTTTTCATTTCGTATGGTCCAGATTCACGAACAACCTTCAAAATAGTTCACTTCATCTTTCATTTTCAACCCATCCCTAAAGGATCTCAACAACAGTTTCCTGAATTTTTCCAGACTTNTGAGTTCTACTCAAGAAAAATCAGCGCCAACTGAACTTGTGAATTCAAAGCTCCACAGAATTGGCAGTTGGATGGGGCATTATCAGGTCAAAGCAGTTCGAAGAAAAGTACTAGTTACTTGCACTAAGAGGAAGCTAATCCAAATATTCCTGAGGGGAAGCTTTCAGTTACTGAAGAGCGTGGGAAAGAAACATTCTTGAGATCTCGTGGCAGCTAATGCCGAACATAAGACGCTCTATGAATTATGAAAATGGCCAAACACGGCTGACTGAATCAACATGCTCGCAAGTTTGCCACGCTCATTGAACCTTAAGACTGAGGCTTAATCTGGTCAGTGATCAAATTAAAGATGGAGAATAACCTGGGAAGGGCTGACTCGAGCAACAGTCTCATTGTGGCCCTCTTATAGTTCCTCCCAATTCCGATCCTCCAAACACTAATTATGACACATATCCGCTCGAAAGTTACTGTTGTTACATAATCTATGAAATAGAATGTTGGAACTCAGCTTCCCCCAGCTTTACTAGAGGTATCCGAAAAGGGCCTCGGTGGCTATTACGGCAGTCGTAACTATGAAAACGCTCCAACCATCTTCATCGGAAAAAAGGGCAATATTCCAATGCTCTCTCGGAACTCTGCCAAGCCCTTTGTTCTCTTAGCACTCTACTACGCACCGATAGATTGCTGGCATTACGGGACGTTTCAGTAGAACAATGAATAATCCATTAGTTTTATTTCAAAAATCATTTATAACGTTGACGTTTATATACTTCACTTTACCATCCCAAGCAAAATAAAAAACTAAACATTAATAATGAATCACTGTTCCGGCCCAACCCAACCCCTCCCCATCAACTTATTCGGTCCCATTGCCTTCACTTCAAAATTATTAACCCAAAAAATTTCTTTTCTGATTCGTATTTGTTGAAAATGACCCACAAAGAAATTCAATTCACATAAGCCCAACAAAAAGACGGGTAAAAAAGTAGAGGAACCATTTGGGATAGAAATGTCTCTGGTGGGCGATTATCCGAAAAGAACAAATAAACATCATTTTTCCCATGGCCATAGAACGCTGCGTGCATTTATGAGGCGACAAGCAGCCCCTGGCCGAGATGGATGCAAATGTAAACATCAAATAAATCGGTTTCACAGATTAGTGACCATTGAATATCTATCGTGACTTATCGTTGAAACTTTAGTCAATATTAAGCCAACTTTCGAATTTTTCAAATTGAAAAATCATATTTGTTTCTAGGTTCACCAGTCAGCCCCTGTAATTAGACAGTAGCGCAGAATAAACACTAAATCCTTCCATGATCGTTGGGAAGACGTTTTGACGTGCGCGCTGACGATGGCGAGACGCGCGTGCTCGCTCCGATTAAACGCGAAAAATAAACAAAATTCGAGAAAGATCCGGATTTTAATCGCTGATCGTCATAAAGAGAATCCGGAAAGATCAAATTCTCATGAACCCTATACGAAAACGAAATCTGGTCCAAAAGACCAACCTTAGCACCAAGACGTAGAGTGGAATAGATGAGTTTATAGTTGAGAAGAATACGATGAATCCAACTAGCTCCAGGATTGAACAACGCCATTGCGATCATCGTCGATGAATAACCCGGTTGAAACCGTCGTCACTCATGTTGTACTATGGAAATGAGGAGACGACGTAAGCAGAAAAAACGGTACGATGTCTAGCCCACCCTTTTAGCGACGTTTATGCATGAAAGAATAACGAGTGGAAGTCCAGCGACCAATAGTAGGTCGCCAAATGAACACAATGACCAATCAGAAAAAAGCTAGCCCCGATATCATTTGAGGAAAGAAAAAATCTGACGAAGAAACCAGAATAACCACTTATTTAAAAAAATGTGTTCTTTAGTGGCAAAGAGCAAGAGACCACCGTTCATAAAGCAAAATAAACCTATCTGGCAAGGAAAAATCGGTTTTGTCTCTAAGTAGGAGCTCCGGGCAAGAATACACAAGATTTCAACGGACAAAGCATAGATCTAGGGCGATAATAAAAAAGTGTAGCTGTACAGCATCTTCTATGACGTTCACCTAATTGGAATCGAAAATAATCAGAGGCTTCTGACAATCTGGCGAACAGAATACAAAACGCTGCATAACCAGTTCTTATTTGACTCGATTGAAGCTTTCCCTTTGCGAAAGTCCGATTAAATCAGGTTTTGAAGAAAATCGTTCTCACAAAAGCACTATGCGATGCCGATTTCCAATGTGATTACGCGAAATCTTGAGCTTCAGAAAAACTTATGTAAAAAGTTCCTACATGTTCTATGCTGTTGAGTGGCTATTCCGAGGTCTACTAGCTTTTACATGATGTGAAATGATCGGTTTTCCTTACAAAGTATTCACTGAATACAGGCATGCCCTTTCAGTACCACTTCAGTTGTCCTGCACCTGGTTCACTCAAATCCCTCGTGGGGCCGTCGTTATCACGCCAAGCATCGTCGGTGGGCCTCTTTGAAGGAACTCTCGTCTTCAAGAGCTGGCCCACCAGCCCCCATCGTCTGTGCACTGCAGCGTGACACGATTGACGGCTTTATTCCTTTTGGCCGAATCTTTGTGGTAGCAACACCGACCTCAAAAACATCAGAGATTGAGATCTTGGAAGCACGTTTGACAAAGAAGGAGCAGACCATCAAAAGCAATCCGTGTGGAACGCGGAGCTAAGCAATCTGGGAAAAGTCCCATTGGGGGAAATATCACAGGGCATCTTGGGCTTCTGGAGAAACACTCTGGACCAAAGAATTTGCTTTTCTTGCTTTTGTACCATTTCCATCTTCTTTCGGACGATAACAGCCCATGATACCCAGTAAAACCTAACCTGAACGGATTCCTTCCCCGTAGGCTTAAAACGACGAAAGTCGTTGTAGTTCTCAGAGCCTCTAGGGAGGACCAGCCAAACATCAATTTTCCAGTAATTCCTAATCAATGCTTTTAGTACAACGAACTCCTTTCTTCAAAGAGCTTCCGAATGATAAAAAAATTCTAAAAAGTGCAGTTTCCAGTCATTTTCGTGGAGCACCTCTTGAAAAACTATGGCAACCAGCTCCAAAGACTACTGATCATCGCAGTAGAGGAACTACTTCGGCAGTCTCGGAGGCGTCTACGAATTAAGCAAACTCCATGAAATAGCCGGGATAACCTCTGCTCTATCTTTAGGGAACCGTACNGCCATAGAATACTAGGGCCCCGCCTTATCCTATGTATAAAATCTCTGGATTCCATTTAATTCTTCTCTAGAGCCATTCTACAGTATTTCTATCAAAGGTTCGTAAAGTTGAAGGCCTTCAGCGTAGAAAATCACATTAAGTGACGGATGAGTGCAAAAAGTTGACGAGGCTCAAAAGTGCAATGTGAAAAGACGAGATTGCAAATCCCCTCCATTCAGGTGCATGAGCCATATCAGAAATGAAGCGGGAAGCATTGTAGGGAACGATTTTTTCCACTAGACGTTAAAAAATTAATTTCAAAGTAATGAAGACCCATGAAACCGGAAGGTACTGTAAGAGAATTTTGCTTCACGTCAATATGGGCCGGGTTGAATAGTAAACATAAGAATATGACAAATCAAGAAAATCTGAGAGAAGGCTCCAGTTCTGCCCAGTGTTAGATGATACTCTCAAATCATCTCAGAAAAAGTGATCTACAATCAGTCGATAAGGACGTATAAAAGTTGATTTTTCCCACAAAAGTTCTCTTCAGAGTTGATATACCCTCACTACCGATAAGATCGATGAGGTCGCGGCCTCATAAGCACAAGGTCGTACATAGAGCTATAAGAAAGGCGGCTAATACTAGTAATTACCAAGAGATTTCAGAGTAGTTATGACGATTTTCGCGTTCTGAAACCAATGAAGTGTGAAACCAGTCGGTTCTAGGCAGCACTTGGCAATGTGCGATGAAACATATTGTGCAGATGTATTTGAAAACCTTGGACGAGCTTCGACAAAACCTATGACAGATGCTTCAGTGACAGCATATTACGTAATGATCAACGTGTTGACCATAAGGTATACCAAATTCTACGGTTTTGTACGGAATCGAAAATAGAACTATCGATTAAGGGGTAGATCAGAGAAACGCGATCCCTTTGCGCAAACTAAGGCACCGTTGAAATGAGAAAGCGCGGGAATTATTTTATAGGTGACGCATGCCTTACTTAAGAGCGCATTCGAGTCGGAAATGGAATTTTTTGCAAGCAAAAAAACTCTCTTAGACAAAAGAGTTCAAAGCCCCCACAAGAGAAAAATTGGAAGAGGTTTCATACACGTTGAAAGCGGTAACCACTTATCGCCAAAACCTCTTGAAAACAGCTCACATCTAACTTGACAGTTACGCTTTTCATAGCATTCCACTAAAGTAAGGAATTCGATGATAGAAGAAAATGTGGGAGCAGAACCGAGAAACCTATGAAGGATCGACGGTTTGAGAGGTTTTCAAAGGAGAAATTCAGGTGAGCATGTCCATTACAGTTTTTAGAGTCATTTCATACAAAAGGTAATTGATCATCACGAGTAAGTCACCTCTACGAATTTTTCAACAGTTGCAGTCAAAAAACAAAGTAAGGTTGCTAAAGTCCGACAACTATCTTACAAACTCTTTATCTCTTTACAAACTTCCAAACGCTTGAGCAATAAGACACTTCCGTCTATCATGGAGATGTGGACCATCATTAACATAACTTACAAAAGTAGTAGTTGTTCTGCATTAAGGGTTGCGAAGGCGAATAGAATAGGGACATCATCCCTGGCTTTGCAAGCAAAAGAGATAAACGACAGAGGAAGGTGGTTGTTGTGGTGGTCAGCTTGAATGGATCCATGGGTGGCCACTATCCGAAAGGCGGCATGATCAAAACCACATGTCGAAATGTCGTAAAAGCACCGAAATCATAGCCACCACCCCACACCAACACGCCACCGATCAACACGAAATGAAAAAGAAAAGTTATGGCAGAGACCTGAAGAGATTCGGCCACCCAGTGAGAGAGAGAAGATAGCGAAAAAGTGAGAGTATCTCCTTCTAATGATCTGAGAATAACGCCAGCCACAATACCGAAAAACCACTGCTGCCAATCATTGCAATAAATTTGCGTTTACTTAACTGTGTTGTCCTTCATTTTGCAACATAAGTACATACTAGAATAGCCTAATGGGTCCGAAGACGGCGATCAATAAAAGATTCGTGAGAAAACCACCATATTAGCCGAGCCACCAACGAACCACCACGGTCCGTTAGACATGCCAAAAGTGTTGGACAATTGAATTATTGAGTTGATCAAAACACACACATATATATGCATACACACCATGTCGTAATCGTGATGGTGGTGATGATTGTTGTTGCTGAAGTTGTTGTTGTTGACGCATACTGACGAATCACTCGTAGACCAGATGAGCGGAGCAGAAAGTGAATTAACTAGACGTCGCTTAGGTCGACGAAATGATAAGAAACGCGGTAGAGAGCGTTTCATTTTCGTCTGAATACGGGATGTAGATGATGGAGGATGAGGAAGAATGATGAGGATGAAAACCCTCGGACTGGCTAAGAGCGCGCGAAATGTGAAGAAGGCGGGCGGGGGCTTGGTGGCGGTGGCGGCGGTGACGGCGGCGGACGAACGCGAAGGGGCCGGTGAAACGAAGCGCAAAACGCGCGCCAACACAAAACTTGCCAACAGGACATGGCCAAGGGGTTTTTCCATGATCATCCAACTAGACGACCACCCCAGACACCATGTCTTCGGTTCTTCTCCCGAAGTTATCCGTCAGTCAGCCTGACTACCTCTTCCGCGATCTACTTAATACAGACCACAAAATCGCTTAATCTCTCGCCCGAACTTCAAGTCAACAGAGTTCGGGCGAAGAGAAGTTCATTAACTACAACAAAAAGCGAGAAAACATGAATGAACACTGCAGAAGTTTCACTTCACTGGGTTCATAGACTTACTTTCCGGGAAGTTGAGTAACTTTCGTGGAACCTGTCATAACTACAGGCCTATAATCACACCTAGATTTTGCTGAGGTACAGACAAGTGCGACATTGAATTATCACCTATCGGCCCATCAAAACGTCTTTTATAACCGTAGGGCTTGGCTAAGCCCCATCAGATTGTCTTCTCTGCGACTGCGATCGGAATTTGGATTTGTCACAGGCCAAGCGACAGTGTGCCAGTGCAGCGAATAGCAGCTGACGAAAACGTGGTGGTGACAAAACCGATTTCCCAGCTGGAATGGGAAAAAAGTAAGAAAACTGCAGTCTACGGCCTTGAATGGGAGCCACAACGAAGAAATGAGACGAATTTTGGGGATTCCTTAAACAGGGGACAGGAAAAATGAGGAGGAGCTGAACAAAGGAGACCGGATCATTGTTGAGTAAAGGATTGTCTGAAAATGAGGACTGATTAGCCGGCAGGTCCAGAGTGTAAACACATGAAGAAATGACCAGAAGTTCGATCTTTACTGAAGAAAAAGACATAATTTACATAAATCACATGAGCAAGGGTTGGCTGACTTGTCAGGGACTTCTGCTGCAAATCCTTGATAAATGGCATATCACAACAGTACGCCAAGCTCTGACAGGA